CACACACACACACGCACACACGCACACAGAGACTTGCACGCGCACATTCGCGAGGTCCCTGCCGGTTTCTCCAATCAAATGCCAGCTTGCAGGTTCTCGCCGGATCGACTGGGCGCCAAACCACATTTCCCCTCCCCCCCTCTTCTCATCCCTGCTACTCCCCTTCCTGCCACGCACACACACACACACACACGCACTTTCTCCCCCTCCCCCTCCCCCCTTGCCCGGCCAGATGTCTGGGCCCTCCTCACCGACCGCCGGGGCGGCAGGCCTGGCGCCTACGCTACCGACTATCACCACGGTTGTGGTGGACGCCACGGTGTCGGCCACCCCTCAGGCCGGCGACGCTGACAACTCCCCCCTCAGTCGGCCCTCCTCGTTTGGATCGTTTCATGGAACGAGCAGCCCTTGCTCGGACTTCCCCCCGCACTCGGCCTCCTCCTCAATCGGGTCCTTCGTGCAGGTCACACATCCCGAGTCACCGACCGAGGCCGCCGGGTCCGGGTCCTCGCGGGACTCCTCACCGGACAGTCCACTCCCGGCTCTGCTGCCATTGGCCTTTGGCTCGCGGTCGCGATTGACCGAAAGCCCGCGCGCCTCGCCGATTCACCTGCGCCGGTCCATGTCCTCCATCTCTTCCACCGGCAGCGAGCGGCCTCTGAGCATGTCCGGTGGCCGGCTGCCCGGCAGCAGCACCGATGACTTGCTCTTTGGCGCGAGTGGCACTCACGGGGCTTCCTCGCGGCCAGTGAGTGCCATGCTCAGTGACAGCACCTCGGTTCGGAGTGACTCCAGCATCGACCCCTCCGCGGCCACCACCCCTGGCGGAGATTCTTCCATGTTCATCGGTACCGTGCACAACAGCCCCCCGATGTCCGGCGACCATGTCCCCTTGAATGCCAATGGAGCTGAGCTCCTACCCGGCCAGGGTGCCGGCCCCCCGCCGAAGCCGGCCATCGCCCTGGCTCTGACCGACTACCTCGGTGAGACTCTGGATTGCCTGCAGTTCCTCAAGGGCGAGCGCATCCGGGTGTTTGGCCGCGCCGGTCCTGGTGTCTGGCGAGTGCGTTCTCTTTCTTGCCTCAGCATTCCCGCTCCCTTGCTGTCTGGCCTGCTTCCTTTTCCCTCCCCCTCTAGATGCCCAACATCCCTCCTGACCCCCTTGCTCTCCTCTCACCGGGGTGGTGGATTGCTTCGGATGGCAATTCCAGGGCGAGTGCCAGGGCGTGGTCGGAACCTTCCCCGCAGAGCTGGTCCGCCCTCTGGGCAAGGACTTCGCCACGCGCTTGGCTGTCTGTGAGAGTCTCCCCGATCGGTATCTCCTGTCGGCGCCATACATGTTTGATCAGCCGCCCGATGATTCTCCCTACCTCACCTCTTCGGCCGAGGGGGACGGTGAGCCGGATTCCGACACGCGTGCCACCGGTCGGCCACCACTGCCCCCTGGCCGGTCGCCGAGTCATGGCGTTGATGCCGGCGTGGTGCACGAGCGCCTGCGTGATGACCCCGACGAGGATTTCGATGACTTCCTGGTGGTGGATTCGGTTCGTAGTTTCCTTCCAAAGACGGGGCATTGCACGAGACACGGAAAGTAGGGTCGGAGGGGGGGTGGGGGGGTGGGGGTCGAGGTGGCGGAGCGACGACGACTGCCGGCAATTCGGGCCCCCCATAACCGGTCCGACGACTGACCTTACCCCTCTGCTTGCCCATGCAGATGGAGCGCTATCGCACGCTCTCTCGGCTGTATGCCACCCAGAATATCCCCCGGCCGCATGAGAGCCTCATCCTTCCGGCCAAGTGCGTGATCTACGGCCCGCCACCGAGTCTCGGGCGTGGGTCGCCTGGCAGCCCTGCCAGCCCGAAGAAGAGCCTGTCGGAGCTGCTGTCGCTGCCCGTGCAGCCCCCCTCCGAGCATCCGGTTGCCCTGGATCCGGACCATGCGCCTCCCATGCCGCTGCTGGTGCTGGCACACCCACGAGCTGGTGGCAACCGCGGCGCGCGAGCTCTCCAAGCCTTCCGCAGCCTATTGCACCCGGTGCAGGTGGGTGACCTGACGCAGGGGGGCCCCGAGCCCTCGCTTCGGCTCTTTTCCTACCTCAATTACTTCCGCGTGCTGGTTTGCGGTGGTGATGGGTCGGTGGCGTGGGTTCTCTCGTCGCTGGATAAGCTTGGTCTGCTCGGGCGGTGCGAGGTGGCCATTCTGCCGCTCGGCACCGGTAATGACATGGCCCGCGTTCTGGGCTGGGGTCCGGGCTATGACCGACAGAATGTGCGTTTCCCTCCGGTCCCCCTTATCCTGCCTTTCTTTGCCCACCACTGACCATCCTCTGTTGCATGCTTTCTCCCGATCGCGCGCGCAGTACCGCAAGTTCCTGGATGCCATCAGCCAGGCACAGCCACGCGAGCTGGACCGCTGGACCGTGCGCCTTGAGAAGTCCGACGGCACCGTCGAAGAGCGTGTTATGAACAATTACTTCTCCATCGGGTGCGCCTCGGCTGCTTTGCTCTTCTGCTCCTGTCCTGGTCGACCTTTTTTTTCGCAGCCATGTTAACTTGTGTTTCCTCCCCCCCCCCCCCCCCTCATCTCCATAACCACGGGCCCCCTCCTCTCCGGTGCTCAAAGCATGAGCGCCAGCATTGCCCTCAACTTCCACGAGGGCCGCACCCGGAACCCTGGGCTCTACCAGTCGCGCCTCTTCAACAAAGCCATGTACCTGCTCGATGGCGTGAAGGACTCCCTGACGCGGCCCTCGCGGCGCATCCAGACTCGCGTGGCCATGCGGCCGGCTCACCCCTCCGAAGAGCAACAGTACTTCGCGGACCCGGATGCCCCGACCTCCATCCTGTCGCCTGATGATCCCACCCTCCTGTCGATGCCCATCATCCCGGAGATGGCTCTCGACCCTGGGGCCTCCTTCAACATGGTGCATAGCCTGAGCGATCTGTCACTGCCTGCTGGCGGTGGTGGCGCCAGCAGCGGGCACACATCTGCTGCGGGTGGCTCGGCGGTGACCACTCCGCTGGCTGGGGCCATGGCCGTGACCGCCTCAGCGCCGGCCCCCATCGCCGAGGGGGGCACCCCCCGCGCCGGCGGAGCCTACTCGATGCCGGTGACATCGGCCTCGGAGTCGGCACTCCTCACGGCTGGTGGTGACGCCGGGGCCGGGGAGGACGGCACCGCTCCTGGTGGATCTGCATCAACCGGGGTCCTGATGCGCAAGCCCCGGTCCGCGTCCTCGGCTTCATCGTCACGCCCACCGAGCGATGGCAGCGACGATCTGTCCGACTCGGAGGCCGTCCCGCTAACCACCTGGCTGGATCTGCCCGACAGCGAGGATTTGGTCATGATGAACATCAATAGGTATGTGTGTTAATTGGCCCCCCCCCCCCCCCCTCCCCTCCCCGGTGTTGTGGGGGCACCCTCCTTCTCTTTGTCCCCTGTGTAAGACACCCTCGGGAGACATGAATTACTTACCCACACAACCATGGCTCCCACGTCCACTCCTCCCCCTCCGGATTGCCGTCCATTTTCCGGTGCGATCTCTGTGCTCCGATGTGTAGCTATGCCGCCGGGATTGTCCTCTGGCGGCAGGACCCCCCGAGTGACATGAGTGATGGACAATTCGAGGTGGTTGCGGTCGGCAGCTCGGCACACCTGGGCAGCATCAAAGTCGGCCTGGCCAGGTCGAATCACATTGCCCAAATGCGCTCGGTGGTCATTGAGAATCGCAAGAACCAGGCCCTACCGATCCAGCTGGATGGCGAGCCCGAGAGGGTGGCCTTCCGCCGGGTGATGATTGGCTGGCGTAATCGCGCGCGCATGCTCGAGCGTGCGCCCGGGGTCCCCGGGGTCCCGGCGTATGGCTCCGCGCCGTCGACTGCCGGGGCCACTGGCGGACCGACTCCCCCCTCGCGTGCGGCCACCTCGCCCGGGGCCCTCTCTCCGACGACAGAGCGGCCCCCGGTGATGCCCCCGCCGCCATCCCAGCCCGCAGGCCCTGGGACGTCGATGTCGGCACCCGCGTCGACCGGGTCGGGGTCCCTCTCTCTTTCGACAGATGGCGGCTCGCCCACGACTGCCGTCACGACGGCCACCGCCGCCCCAGCCGCCCTGCCCCAAATCCAGGTTGACAGCACAGCGACCACCCCCTCGCCATCGGCCAACAGTCCGAAGATGAGCAGCTTCTCGCGCTTGCGCCGGCGTAGTTCCTTCCTGGCCACGCTGACCGGAGGCAGTGGTACGAGTCTCTCGCCTGCCCCCTCGCCAACGGAGGCCGCCACACCATCGCCAGTGGTCAGCCCGATCACCGGGTTGGCCATCGGGTCGGCCATGGCCACGCCGTCGCCGCAGCTGGCCACCCCCCGGAGCGGGGAGGCCGATGATGATAGTGGCGGCGACAGCGATGCCGAGACCGAATCCCTCCTCTCACATCAGCGGTGAGAGCGGGAATCTGCCCCGGCTCCTTGTCCTGTCTTTTTGGGGGGAAGATGATGCCCCATCCGCTGCCTCGGCTTTTTCTGGTACACAGTCCCATGTCCCTGGCAAGGTGTCCCCGTCTCTCCCCCCCCCCCCCTGCCCTTGCGAATACACACCTACACACCCATGAGGAACACCCGCGCCACCCAAGCCGCACACATGCCACACATTCTGGGAGCGGGGCAGACGAGGAGAGGAAGGGGCCCTCGGTCTCCTCCCGCACCAGTGGCATGTGGACAAGGGAGGGGGGAGGGGATTCGTGAGAGAGCCGTGTTGGCCTCCGTCGAGGAGGGTCATGCTTCGGGATGGCCACACTTTGGCCCGGGATGAGTGGATGGTGGGCGCCGTGCCGCGCGCAGGAGGTTGAGAGACCGGCGCGGACGAGCCCAGAGCCGAGTTCGTAACTCGGATGGCGTAACTCGTTTGCCACATGACTACTTTCATCAGTACTAACATGCTAGCTTTCCGGGTTCTGAAGGAATGCTGGAACGGCAGTTCTGGCAAGGCAAGCTCAGTATGTCGGACGTTCGTGCGGGGGTGCGCAGTCTCAAGCCCTGACCCTCGGGGGGCAAGGTCGAAACTCAACTGTGCAGCCTGGAGGAAGGCGCTTTCCCTTCTCCACCATCAACAGGACCAATCGGATAGATGACCAGAAAGGGATGTCGGTCGAAGCAGAACCCAGAGCCCAAGGAAAACAGGGTGGTTGCTGCTGGAATACACGGGGCGAGGGAAACAAAGCACAAAGGCCCAGGTCAACCAAGAGAAGAAAGGGGAGATGGTGGACTCCTGGCAGGGGGGGATGATTTGGCACAGCGGCGGCCACTGCTCCTGACCCGGGCCCAGGGGAGGAAACGAGCGGGAGAGGAAAGGCGCGGAGGCGCAAGCGGAGCCCACCGATGCCGTCGTCCCTCCTCGCCTCTGGCCGTGCCGATAGGAGGACTGGGCCACATATTGGCACACAGAGCCGCACCTCTCTCTCGCTCTCTCTCTCTCCCCGGCCCACCCCCCCGAGAAAACCGCGCGGCCCCAACACCCCTCCCTCCCTCCCCTCCTACGAAGGAGAATATACATGAAGACACACACACACACACACGACAGAACAACGGAAGATTGTAATATGACACGCGACAACGCTGAGCTGGATATGGTAGAGACATACGCACGCGCGCAGCAAGGGGGGGGCGCAGCCGCACGGGCGTCCTCCCACCTCTCCTCAGGATGCGCGCAGACGCGGCGGCAAGGGCGCGAGGAGTGCACTCTCGGTTGGCACGCTCCTCCACAGGCAGAGGGAGAAAGAACGTGCCGAAGAGGGGAGAGACAGCACTGCGGACCCCGCGCGGGCGCACGCGCACACGCAACACCACACAGGCGAGCCTGTGATCGAAACGGGGAGAACACACGCACGGCGCGCGCGCGCGCGTGTGTCAACACACATGCCGATGCTCATCGTGCTTCACACACACACCACCAGGCGCTTAGATGCGAGAGGGGAAGAGCATCTACGACGAGGGAGGAGAGAGGAGAGGAGAGCGCAGGGGGATTAGGAAGGGTCAGAACCATGGACAGACAGAGAAAGGGGCAGTGCCGCGTGTGCCCGAGCGCGATAGCCGACGTATGGCAGGGCGCGCCACCACACACGGTCGGCGCCTCTCCCTGGCGCCGGCCCTCTATATCCCTCCTCGAAAGTGGGTGCGCGGAGGCACATGCGTGCGCCGACGAACCACCCCGGAGAAGAAAGATAGCCGCGCGCGCGCGCAACGAGCCCCCAGCCCGGCGCACGAGGGTCGGCCCCTGCCAGGGAGAGAACAGAAAGCCGAGCAGCGGACGTAGATGCTCGGAGAGGAAAGGGAAGAGGAGGGATTGGTACGTACGACGCGAACCTTGGCACCAAGCTTGTTGGAGGGGAGGTTCTTGGCGAACTTGGCGCGAACGACACCGCTGTTGCCGTGAGAGCGGGCAATGCGGCCCCAGACCTGCTTGGTGGTGGTGCCGTTGACCTTCTTGGGGGAGGTGTAGACAAGGACGACGCGCTTGCCGAGGTAGAAGTCAGTGTCCTCCTTGGAGCGAACACCGTCGATCTTGATGAGAGAGAAGTTCTGGTCGAGCTTGCGCTTGGAGCGGGTGTGGCCGACGAAAACACCAGTGGAGTAAAGCCTGGACAAGTGGCAAACCGAGAGGGGGAGCGCGAAAAGCAAGTCGCCGGTTAGAGGTCAGGAGAGGGGCGCGCCAAGTGGAGGATGCAAAAAAGCGTGAGCCGTGCTCGAAGAGAAAAAGGCTATCTCAGGAGGGAAATCGGATGCGGGTCACATCCGACGCGCGTGCTCCCATTCCCCGCCCCCCTTCCACCAAACGGGCCGCCTGTGTTCCCCGACACGGAACCGGCTCTCTCTCCTTCTCGCGTCCTCTGTTGCCTCCTGTCGCCGAGGAAGGCGTGCCCCTGTCTCGGCTCCGATGATGGGGATCGGGGCCAGAGAATAAGTGCCCGGGTGGGTCCGGCGTGACATTGCCCCTCCCCTGCACGATGGCAGCCTCGAAAACACATCACCAGGGGAGGGGAGGGGGCCATGATGCCCCCCCTATGCACGGAGCAAATGGAGAGAGGGAGGGATCCAGGACAGGAGAAAGCATGACGATAGGCAACACACACACACACGCATACACACTCCCCCCTCCTGAAGGGCACACCGGCGACCAGGAGAGGGGAAGGAGGCGAGGGCGGTGGTGCCGGCAAGCAGAGGCCGACACGCCAGAAAGGCAGGAGGAGGAGGAGGAGAGAGAGGGGCGGTGGTCCGCGCGTCCGGAGGACAGACACCGTGTGGAAGGGAAGGGGGGCCGGGCACGCGCATAGGCGTGCAAACAATGCATGGGGGATGGGGAGGGCGGTGTGTGGAGGGCGGAGAGGGGCAAAACGGGGGGGGGAGGAGGAGGAGAGACATACTTGGTCATTGTGACACGTCGAAACTCAGGAGGAGGAGATAATCTACAAAACCGGAGGAGACGAGAGGTAGGCGATGGGGGGGAGTGGCCAGGTGGGGTTTCAGAAAAATGTGTGCCAGTGTCCCCGCCACACTGGCCGGGGGGCTTGTCTGCCTGCCGGCCATAGACCCCCCCCCCGTGGGAGCGCGCAGGGGGAGGGGAGGGAGGGGCATCCAGCGGCGTCTCCCACTCCGGATGCCCCCCGTCACCCGCCTGAGCACATCATCCCAGGGCGCCCGCCGACCTGCGAGGGCCTTGACCCGCGGCCTGCAGGCAGAGACGCGCGGAGGCCCCCCCCCCCCCCCCCCGATCCCGCGATTGACCACGGCATTGCCCCCGGGAGCGGGGGGGAGGGGAGGGGGGGCGGGGGGGACAGCCCTCCCCCCTGGTGGCTCGGGCCGCACACACCGCCCACCCCCTCTCTCGCCTCGGGCCTCCCTCCATTTGGCCGCAAGATGCCGGAACATCCCCCCCCCGCCCCCCCACCCCCCGCCCCCCGCTGTCCAGGGTCCCAGTCCCCCTGTACATGCCCGGTCCTCCCCCCCTCCCAGGAAGAGCCCTTGCCGAGAACAGCCACCAGCAGCGTGGCAAGTCACAAGACCCTCTGGGGGCGACACCAGCGGGGCAAGAGGCAAGCCCATCATGAGCTCTGGCCGGGCCCACAGACGCGTTATGACCAGCCCCAGGGAGAGAACGCCGAGAGGATCATCGAAAGACATCCATCTGACCGCAACCGCAAGCAACACCAACATACTCGGCACCCGTGCTGGCACCAGTTCCACACATTGTTCCGGGGGGCGCGCGTTGATGAGCGCCCCGCTCTCCGCCCCTCCGCGTGTGTCCCCCTGCATCATCACCACCATCAGCCCTGAGAGCAAATACCCGGGGGAGATTCCCGGCCTCCAGGCACAAGTCACCTCCCAATGGAAACCAAAAAACTTTCCCGCCGAATATGTGATTGGAGTCCCAAAAGTATTTGCCCATTTTTAGTGCGTATATTTCCTATTTCAAATGGCTTCTGTTCGGACATCATGCTTGGGGCCAAATCACATGTCCCGACAAATGGGCTATAGTTTTCAATCTGCGCCGGGAGGCCGCGCGCCTGCGAAAACCCATACGCCCCCTCGGTGTCGCGTTTGCTCCATTTCAAGTGACAGAGCGCCCGTCGTGATGGCCTCGGCTTTTGTTTGCTGCCGCCCTTCTCCCGGGCCAAGGGAGTGGCCATGATGAGTGCCGTGTTTCTCCTCCCCATCCTCTCGCTCGCGTGTGAGAGCCGATCCCAAGCCCGTGCGTGGACGGCCCCCCCCCGCCCCCCCCAACAGAGAGGCGAGGCATGTCAGCATCCCAGGGTAATGGGCACGGATTTCTCGGAGCAGCTTTGTTCGGGATGTATTTTGTCTATTTAATAAGGCCAGCCCTCCTCTCTCATCCAACTCAGAAGGAAGGTAGTACGGAGGGGAAGGGAGATGTGGTGCACCAGACGTGTACCTGGTTTCTTCTTTGCGTCTGTGTACATCCACACATGCGGGGAAGGAGGAGAGGAGAGGCGGGGGATCTGAAGGGAGGGGGGAGGCAAGAGTGCAACGGGAAGGGGAAGCAGGGGAGGGGGCAGGAGGAGAAGGAGGAAATACCCATACCGCACACGCACACGCACACACACACACACACATGCACGAGCGTGGGCATGGCGCACATCCTTTACTGGGAAGTGGGCACACGATCGTAGATGTTGTTGAGCGGGCGCGAGGTGGCACGGTCGACGGCAACGGACATATCGGCGGGGCCGGCATGCTCGTCGCCCTCATCCTCGCTCTCGTCGACGAGCGAGAGCTGGGCCTCGAACTCCTTCCGCGAGGAGGGCAGGTCACGAATGCGACCGGTGGTCATGGCCATGGTATCGCTGGCGGCGATGGCCGCCTGGCGGCGGAGGCGGTACGACTCGTAGCGGCTGTCGTTCAGCTGGGAGAACTGGGCAGCCAGCTTCTTGGTGTCATAGGTGGCCTGGGCCACAGTGCGGTTGTAGTTGGCACCCTCGGCAAACAGGGGAGAGGGGTTGCGCGCATTGTGGATGATAATGTCATTGATGCGCAGGACCGTGAGCTTCTGACGGTGGCCGCGCTTGCGCTCGTAGCCATGGCGGCTGGACCGGGAGGAAGGGGGGAGGGGGGGGGGGGGTAAAACATCAGCAGGTGAGTAGTCTGGGCGAGGGTACATTGAAAGGTGGGCATGTGGATGTGGGGCATGTACCGCTTCTTCTTGAAGTTGATGACCTTCTTGCCAAGAGTCTGCTCAATGACAGTGGCATAGACGGTGACATACTCCTTGTTGACCAGGGGGAAGCCCACCAGGGAGAAACGACGGTCCCCGATGCGGCCACCAACCATGGTAACGTTGTCCAGCACAACCTGGGAGCCAACATCGGCATCCTGTGTGCATCCGATTGCACGGTCACACAGGAGGAGGGGGGGGGGGGGCGTTCGTGGGTTAGTTTTGGGGGGCCGGCAAAGGAAGCGCCAGTCCGCCCGGCGGTAGTGATAGCGGGAGAGGGGGGGGGGGGGGTCGAGTTTCTACGCACACGCAGGCGATGGGTGACCACAATGTCCTCGGGGCGGATCTCGAAGCTGCGACCCGAGAAGACGCAGATGGCCGAGAGCTCCTGCGCGCGAGCCATGCTATCCAGGTGAGGGCCATGCTCGGTCACCGGGACGTCACCCTCAACGGCAAGGGTATGCTCGATGCTCTCCTCGGGCTTGGTGAAGCCAGCCGAGTAGCCGGTCAGACGGAGGAGGCCGATTTCCCCCTTGACCTTGGCCAGGAGGCGGTTGGTCGAGGCCACAAGCGAAACGGGAGCGGTGTGGGCCACCGGCTTAAAGGGAGACACGTTGCCGCTGTTGTAGCCGGTAACGATGGACGACACGGCCGAGGTACGGAAGGTGCGCGCGATGGCGGCAGGGACAGCAGCGGCGACGGCCGGGCGGGCCGCAGTCTGCGCGACAGCGAGGCCGCGCAGGCTGGAGGCAACGGTCCGGGAGAGCATGGTTCCGAGGGAGAGGGGCGCGGAGCTTGTGTGCCTCGATGTGCGGGGTGGGCGAAGGAGGGGCGGGGAAGGGAGGAGAAGGGGGAGGG